TCTCCTGTAGAGTGGCAGCGCGCCCCCCCCCCTCGGCTCGCGCGATGGCAGCGAGCGTGGCCCAATTTTTTAAGGCGGGGGCACTTACTGCGCAAGTATCTGACGACCCAAGGGCGCAATCGGGGTAGGGTGGGTCGTCGGACGCAGGCAAGCGGTTGCAAGAGTCGTTCCGGGAAGACCTCACTGCAGCGCCATGGCGTGCGCGGGTTAATCTCCGTTCCGCGCTGCTTCCACTGTCGCCGCGCCGTCAGCGACGAGCTGGTTGGCAACGTCGGGGCGGAGTGGAAACCGCGTGGGCGAGGCGCATGGGGGCGCCGGCCTGGCGATCGAGAACAGCCAGTCAAAGCAGCGGATGAGCTCCACGGGGCCAGGGCGCGCAGGTCGCTGGATCTCGCTGCCCCCCCCCCAAAGCGCGCATCATGGGCGCGCCCTTGCTAGGGGCATCTCGGGTCGGAGCGGGTGCCAACTGCGCCGAATAGCGCGCGCCCGTCGAGCTTCGAGGCGTTGAGGCACTGCGCTACGCCGCTGGCCCTGGCTGCGCATGGGGCAGGGGCGGTCGCAGGCCGCGCTGCCGCCCGCGGGCGAGCAGCCGCCTTCCCCTGGTGGCGACTGCCTGTTCGGCATGCGCCGAATCGCGTTGCCGACCAGAGCGTGCCCGGGCCGGCCCAAGTCGCGCGCCGGGCCACTGCGCGTCTGCGCCTGCGGCGGTGAGGATGTCCAAAGCGCGGCTCTTGACCTCTTCGAGCGCCGTGGGGAGCAATCGGTTCTCGCTACCTTCGCGGTGGAGCAAATAAGGGGGACATGGCTGGCAACTGCTGGGTAGCGTCTCGTCTGGGCCGCTCCTGGATCGGGCCGCGCGGGCCCCCGTCGCGTCGGCAGGCCCATCGGCGTTCCCGGGGGGGGGGCGCGCGAAGCACATCCTGTCGTCTGCTTTTGGTGGACCAAAGGTGGCCATCCAGGTTCTGGCCCTGGCGCTGACCAGGCGCGGGTTCTTCCGTCGGAGCCAGAATGGGGCTGCTCTTAAAAGATCCCAGACGCTGGTCGCAAGAATGGTGGGCGGGGCCTCCGTCTAGCCTGTCGGCCCTGTCGCCGGTCCAGCGCCTGGCTGCCCTGTCCGCCAGGTCTGCGTCCATTTCGGCTAGCGCTGATGCGTGGAAGCTAGCGTTTCTCTTGAGAGCGTTGACTAGGTCACCTGCCGCTAGCCGAGCAGTTCCCACTCCGTCGAAAAGGGATACTAAGGTGACAGACCGTTGCGGCTAGGTGGCATCCCTTTCCGGGCTGGGCGGGCGGGGCGGCCTGGCGCGCGCGTCCCCCGCGCGCTCGGCTGGGTTGTTCGGGCCTCAGCGCAAGGGGCGGGCACTGTCGGTGGCCGAGGTCGGCGGGGCGGCGCGCCGCGCGACGCCCGCTGCGCGCGCGCACTCGCGGGTCAAGGTGCCCGCGCGAAAGTGGGCCTCGATCGGGGGGTCTTGCGGGAGGACGGGGGTGGCCCCCGAGCTCTGGCCAGCGCGCGCCTCCCAGACCGCCTGGGGGACATCCCGGATGCGTGGGAGAGATCTGTCGCCTGTCTCCCAGCGTCGCCGTCGTGCGCCGGGCCTTCCAGGCGCGCGGCGCGCGGCCCCTGACGGAGCCGCCGTTTCCTTTGCGCTACTCATCCACACTCGTCAATGAGGGATCGCTGGCGACGCCCTGCGATGGGAACGCGCGGGTTTGTGGAGAGCGTCGCGCCCCGCGGGCGCGCCCGGCGCCCCGCGGTTCTCGGGCGGGCTGGAAGTCGACGTCAACGGATTGGGGGTTCTCGTCGTTGTCTGTTGCAGGCGTGGCCAGGGGCGGCGCGCTGGGTCGTTGTCTCTTGGTTCCCCCGTGTTCTGGCGCGCAGGGGCGCTGCCGGCCTAGTCCCGCTGCTGGTGTCTCTGGTAAGAAGGGTCGCTTGGCCCAGTCTGCCCCTGTGCCCCTGGGCGCCGGGTCGGAAGGGCCGCGCCCGCGCGCGGGGGCGGGGTGGGGGCCGAAGGCTGCGGCTCAGCCGTGGCTGGGGGAACGCGAGAAGAGCGGTTTGGGTCCTCGGCGCGGGCGTCGGCGCGGGGATTGGCTTCGGCGGGCGCTTCGCGCGCGCCATGGTCGCGACTGGACTCGGGGGCCGGGGCCAGTCCAAGGATGAAGGTGGCGAGCACTTCGAAGCGACCGCGGCCGCCGGCGGGGCCGTCGGCTGGAATGATGAGCGATGGATGCCTCTCCCGCGACGTCCGATGCCACGCGCTGGAGGAGGTCGCGGGGGGCGAGACTGCGGAAAGACTGCGGGGGGATATGTGCCTGCCGCGCTGCTGGAGGCGCAGTCAGGCCAGGCGAGGTCTAGGGCTAGTTCTGCGCGCGTGTCCCAGAAGCGCGAGAGCAGGTCGAAGGCGTCGGTGGGGATGTTTAGTTGTACCAGCAATTCTCTGATTCTCCCCGCAGGTGAGCCCGGGCAGCGTTTCGTGCCATTGTGGGGCTTCGGCGCCGCATCCCGCGGCGCCGGCGGTGAGTGCGCTTGCGATGGCTTGGCGGCCGCCTAATTGCGCGGCATTTGTGAGTGCCCCGAGGCATTGTCTGATGGACTCGTACGCTGGCGCCCATGCGTTCTCGTGTCTCTCCGCCATGTGTTCGGAAGTAAAGATCGTCGCGCCGCCCGGATGGGTCGTCTGGGTCGCTTCATTCTGCGCGGGTTGGATCGCTGCCGGGGTCGAGGATTTGCCTACACAGGTTGTCGATGACCGGTGGAGATCAATGTTGCCTGGCCGCCTTCTGTCTTGATCCAGACGTGCCACGGGTTCCCCCGCTGCCGCGCCGCTGATTGGCATGCACTGCTTGCAGGGCGGTGTCAACCCTTTCTTCCAGATGTGGGCGCGCTCGTGGCTGTGCTCCTCGCTCGACTCGCACGAGGCTTCGGACCTGGTTCTTTGTTATCCCAATGGGTCCCGCAATTGAGAGCTGCATCAGTCGGTCTGCGAGCGCATCCCCACACGTCTTCTCCTTTGGAGGAGGAATGGATTCGGATTGACCGCCCTGGTCGTGCTCTCTCCTTACAGCTCTGCCAAAGTGTGCTGTTTTCTGTTCCTTTCCTCATGGTGCTGTCACCTTGAGAAGGTCTGGCCCGTTCCCCAGTCGAGGCGTCCTCCGCTGCCGATTGTTCAGTCTCGGTGTTGCTGGGCCTTGCTGGCTGTTGACACTTCCGCGTTCGGCATTGCCGGGGATAGGGTCGTCTGTCCGTTCCGTTGGGGGGTGGAGCCTGACGAAGGCGTCCCGTCAATGGCCTCCGTGCGCAGGCGGTTGACACGGTCGTTCCCCAGGTCCGCGGGTCCGGTGGGTGGCGCTGGGTCTGTGTTGGGGTTGCGTGCGGCCGTTTCTGGCTCTCCTGGCGGGCTGTTGCAGTTTGCTGGATCAGAGCATCCCGATCTGTGTGCCTTGCAGCTGCCCCAGCATATGCTGTGGCTGGTCCAGTTCGGACGTGGTCGGGATAGTTGTCGCTTTGGCGTGGCGGCCGGGCGGGAGCTGGCGGGCACGGGGGCCTGCAGCCCCTGTGCGGTTGCGGAGCAGCTGCTCCTGCCGGAGGTGCTCAGCTACGTGTTGCTCCCGGGTTCCCCTGATTGGAGTCAGGTGCTCCGCCGCTGGGTACCGAACGGTCGCATGCCCTTCGCGTTGAGGTGGGGCAGGGTGCTGCGCTTGTGAACGGGGCGGGGGTTCTCGTTTCAGGCTGCGTGGGATTGAGTCGAGCGAGGGGTCGTCGTGAGGTTGCCCCTGAGTGAGATCAGGACTGGGAGGCGTGCGCTGGCAATGCGGGGAACCCGATGGGTGCGCAGAGTCGCCGGAGCGGGTTCTCCTCCCGTTCGGTCCTCTCGGGCCTCTGCCAGGCCCGCCCCTGGTTCTGTCGTCGTATTCTAGCTACCACGGCAGCCTGTGTCCTCTGCGTCGTCATGTGGCCGGTGAATGGTGCGGGCCTCGTCGTCGGTACCTCGCGCTCCGGGAACGTGCAGGAATGGGGAGTGGGCCGTGCACGCAAGGTAGGAAGGACTTCTGGTCCACTGCGCGGAAGGATTCGGACGTTGCGTTGCCTCGCCGATACTTAATTTTGGCGGTGGACAAACCTCCCTTTAGCAAACCTCCCCTTAAAGAAAACGGCCTGGGACCGAAACAGACGGACTTGGAACCGCAAAAATGACGGCCGCGACCCCTTTCGCGAACCGAAAACGGCCGATTCATTAATCGACGTGTCAGGGTAGGAGGTCTATCAACCTCCGATAATTCCCTCATGAGCTGGTCCGAAGACACACACACACACAGACGACACAAATCCGTCCTTTCAGCGGCGAGGTGGCGGCACCGTCGCGACAGGCTGGGCCGGCACAGGCCTAGGCGACTTTCCACCTGGCGTAGCAGATGGGCGGAGTGGCTGGTGGCAGTCTCGCCGTCGCTCGGACGTCCATTTCCCGTGCATTTCTCGGTTTCGTGCGTATTTTTTTTTGCTCGTTGGTCGAGGATGGTCCTCGATGGTTCTCGTCGAGAAAAAATGCACACGTCCAAGCGATGCCAGGCAGTCGCATGCGGAAGAACGCGAGACAAACAGTATAGTAAGGATGCGCGGTAAGGATGCAAGGACCTTGGACGCCCATTTCGAAGCTTTTCGAGCGGGGCGCGGCAAGCGAAAGCGGCGAAGGATGGACCGAGGAGGAAAGGATGCAAGGGTACACTTGGGAAGGTTGCCCATCCTTACTATCATGGTTGACTGTAGTGCTAGATTAGCGCTGGCTTCTACCACGGATATACCAGCGCCAATGCTGAATTTAACCTCCCAAGAGTTGCATCCTACCACACGCACGCAAGCGCACATAAGCACGCACACACAAACACAAACACAAACACAAGCACAAACACAAGCACAAACACAAACACACACACACACACATACATACGCAAAAGGTTGGGCCATGGTAGGGCCACCGGACGCTTGGCCTCAAGGCCCCCTGGATATCAGGTACGTGGCGCCGTAGGTCATCTTACTGAGGGCGCAGCAGAGCGTGAAGATCGTCAGCCCGAGCCAGAAGGGCGCGAACTGCACGGACGGCTTGTGCGCGGTGTCCGCCCAACGGACGGGCATCGCCAGGCAAGAGAATATGCAAATCCTGGCATCCGGGTCGCAGTTGAAGCCGTGCCACAGGTTCCATGCGAAGCCCATGTTCTCTTTCAGAACGTCCTCCGCGGGTTGCTCCGGCTTAGGCGGTGAGAGCAACGGACAACACACAGCAGCAACAACAACGACACACATGTTTAGACTGTTTGCTCTCATCTGCTCGCATGCCATCAAACACGTACATCCCGAACCCTCGATACCCGACCTCCTCGTCTTAGATGGTACCCCCTTGGGGGGATATCTTCCTTACCTGCTACGTATTTGGCGCACCCCCTGAAACAGGGGAAGAGAGGACGGATGGAAGAAAGGAAGGCACAAGGGAGAGGGAACAAGGAAGGAGAAAGGAAGGAACAAGGAAGGCACAGGGAGAGGGAGAGGGAACAAGGAAGGAAGGCACAAGGAAGGCACAAGGGAGGAGAAGGATGGAACAAGAAACATATTATCAGGAGAGGGGGCTAGGAGCAGAAAACATGCGGCAGAACTGGACAGGCAAATCGGGCGGGTAGACCCTAACAGGCGGGTCGGGAACGCGGGCCCAGGCGGACGGGTCGACCAAGTGGGTTGCTGAAACGTGGGTCCTGCATGAATCACCTGGACGTCTCTAGCGATCGCGCGATTTCCAAGTAAATCGTGAGGAAATCCGAAGCGAGAGCGCGATTCCAGAGTATCGACAGCGCGGGTGAATTACGCGTGAAGAGCTACTACGCGAGAGCGCAGATTCTGGATACATTCGGAGGAGGTCCCGCGCATGAGCGCAATTCTGAAATACATGGTGAGGAAATATCAGGCGGGACCTGTTGCTAGTTCAGGGGCCAGCAAGCCAATCTGAGGCCCAACATTTTCTTGTAGAAAAACAGGGTGCGAACCCCAGGAGGAAGCACTGCAATTCAAAAAAACACCATGGCCACCAGAAGGGGGATCAACCATACTTTTGTGGAAAAAAGTTGAATTCGACAACAGCGATCAGTTCAAAAACGTTCGCTCTGATATGCTCGGATGCCATTCGAAGTATATCCCAAACCCTCGAACCCCACCATCGTCGTCTTCGATCGTTCCCCTTTGGGGATATACCTTCCTTACCTGCCACGCGTATTTCGCGCAGCCCCTAAAACAGGGGAGGCGAGGACGAATCGAATGAAGGGACAAAGGGAAAGGATCAACATTGAGCACGAGCGAAATCAGCAGGAGGGAAGCCACGAGCAGAAAACACGCAGCAACATCAGACGGGCAAGCCGGGCGGTTAGACCCTAGCGGGTCGGGAAAGCGGCGCAGGCGGCCAGGTCGACCTAGCGGCTGGCTGAAGCGTGAGTCGTGCATGAATCGCCATGACGTCTCGAGCGATAGCGCGATTTCCAAGTCCGCCGATCCGGCGTGTGAGTTTCAAGGAGTCTCAGCTACAGCCTCGAGGCTGAGCTTCAGCCTCTGGGGGGGTCGCCGGGGTGGCTCTGCCGGGGAAGGGGGGGTGGGGGGGGGGGGGGGGGGTGCGAGTTTCCGGCGAACCCCGGGGCCGCTCCGGGGGAGTGGAAGATAGGGGGGGGGGGGGCGCCATGCTCCGCTTTTTCCGGCGCTTTGGAGGAGGGGGGGGGCCCAAGAGACCCCCAAGGGGTTCCAAGAGGGCCCCGAGTCGCCGAAAAATCGCTCCAAGACGCCCGAGATGGCCTCCAGACGGCCCAAGGTGTCTCCAAGACGCCCCAAGAAGCTTCCAAGAGGCCTCCCAAGAGGGCCCCAAGAGGCCAGAATCGTTGATTTTCATTGGTTTTCTCAGGGTTTTTAGCGTTCTTGCCTTTTCGGGCGTCCGACGCTCGAAGACGGCCCAAGAGGCCCCCAAGTCCGTCCCAAGACGGCCCACGATGCTTCCAACACGGCCCAAGAGAGCCCCAAGACGGCCCAAGAGGGCCCCAAGACGGCCCAAGAGGGCCTCTGGACAGCCCAAGAAGGCCCCAAGAGAGCCCCAAGAGGGGCCCAAGAGGGGGACCACGAACCGAAAGAACCGAGCTTTCCGCCCCAAGAGGCCCCCAGGAGGCCCCAAGAGACCCCCAAGGGGCCCCAAGAAGCCCACAAGAGGCCCAAAAGAGGTTCCAAGAGGCCCCAAAACAGCTCCCCAGAGGCCTCCAGACTGCCTCCGGCAGGCCCCCGGTTTCTTCCGCGGCACCGCCCAGGGCGCCACCGGCAGGATGTCCTCCGTCTCATCGTTTTCCTTCAAGTTATCGCCTCTTCCTCATTCTCCTCCTCCTCCTCTGCGACCTCACTCCTATCCCTCAACGATCGCGTCACCGAGTGCCTCTTCTTTGAAACATCCTCGCTCTTCAAACGCACATCCATACACACATGCATACATACCTACATTTAAACACATTTGCATACATAGAAAAACAATCTTCCAGACATACATACTTACATTCACACACATACACACATATTATCATACACACATACAAACATACATACAAACTAAATACATACATACGCGCACAAGCATACATACATACATACGTACCTACACACAGGCACACATGATCAATGCATGCATACATGCATGCACGCGTACATACACACACATATATCGTGAAACTCACCGCGTGCTCGAAACTTGAGAGAGACCGCGGGAAGTCGAGAGAAGCCGCGGAACGAGGCCTCTACTACTACTACCACTACTACCACAACCACTACTACTACTACTACTACCTACTACTACTACTACTACTACTACTACTACTGCTACTACTACTACTACTACTACTAATACTACTACTAGTACTACAGGAGCGTTTCCCAACTAGTATGTGTGTGTGGGTGATGCTGTGTGAGCATGTCTGCGGCGCAGGTTAAGTGGTGTGACTGTGTGTGTGCGTTTGAGTGTGCGCCCATAATTTCTGCGTCTGGAGAATAACCCCGAGCGACCCGGATCGGCGGCACTGGCCGAAGGCCACTACAATAAATCGTTAAACAAATCCAAAGCGCAAGCGTGAATTCTGAACATCGACGGCGCGGTGTGAATGATTTGCGAGGAAGAGCCACGCGACAGCGCGATTTCTGCATACATTGTAAGGAGGTCCAGCACACAAAAAAACGCGATTTGGAATACACCAGTAAGGCATGTCAGGCGGGAGCGGTTGTTGTTGTTGAAGAAGAAAAAGAAGAACACTTGTCGCTTCTGAAAAAAATGTGTTGTTGATTCCCCTCCGGTGACCATGTTTTTTTCTTTTTCGACTGAAGTGCTCACCCCGACGCTCGCACCTTGTTTTCATCAGGGGAAATCGCGGGGCTTACGCTGTGTTGTTGGCCCCCTGCTTGCAACGATAGCGGCTCCCGCCTGATGCCTCCTCACAATTTATTCACAAATCGCATGCGACTCGCGCTCTAGCGCTTTAGCGCGGGACCTGCTCGCAGCTTATTCGGACGACGCTCTCGCTATGGCTTCTCTCACGATTTACTTGGAAATCGCGCTATCGCTCGATACCTCATCGCTCGAGACCTCCTCGCGATTCATGCAAGGCCCACGCTCCAGCAACCCGCCTGCTCGACCTGGTCGCTTTGGTCCGCCTTCCCGACCAACACAACATGGGTCTGCCCGCCCGATCTGCTCGTCTGGTTATACCACTTGTTTTCTGTTCCTTGCCCCCCTCCTGCTAATATCACTCGTGTCCCATTATTCGCCCCCCCCGTCCACCCGTCTTCTCCCCCTTGATTTAGGGGCCGCGCCGCGCGCGCGGCAGATAAGGAAGATTCACCCCGAGGGGGCGCGATCGAAGACGACGAGGGCGGGAACCGAGGGTTTGGGATATGCGCAGTGGTTGGCGCGCGAACAGATAGGAACTAACCCTGTTTAAATGACTGTTGCTGTTGTTGTTGTTGTTGTTGTTGTTGTTGTTGTTGTTGTTGTTGTTGTTGTTGTTGTTGTTGTTGTTGAACTCACATTCTTGACGAATAATTATTGTTGATCCCCCCCCACCGGTGCACATGGTTTTTTCTATTAAAGTGCCACCCCCGGGGCTCGCACCTTGTTTTTTCTCAAGGAAGATCTTCCTGCTCAAACTGTGCCCCTGCCTCCCGGGCTACAACAACAACAACGGCTCCCGCCTGAGACTTCCTCGATTTTTACTCAGGACCCCCGCTCCCGCCTGAGACTTCCGCGCAATTTACTCAGGAAAAGCGCTCCCATCTGAGACTTCCTCGCAATGTAATCAAGACCCCCGCTCCCGCCTGAGACTTCCGTGCGATTTACGTGGGAACGGCGCTCCCGCCTGAGACTTCTTCGCATTTTACTCAGGACCCCCGCTCCTGCCTGACATTTCCGCGCAATTGACTCAGGAACGGCGCTCCCATCTGAGACTTCCTCGCAATTTAGTGAGGACCCCCGCTCCCGCCTGAGACTTCCGTGCAATTTGCTCAGGAACGGCGTTCCCGCTTGAGACTTCCTCGCAACTTAGTCAGGGCCCCCGCTCCCGCCCGAGATTTCCTCACAGTGTACTCAGGACTGCGCTCTCGCGTGCGACGTCCTCACAGATTATTCTGGAATTGCGTTTCGGCGCTCAGGAACCACGCGCGCGCCAAGGACGCCTTCACAACGTGGTATCTTCCCTCTTCCTTCGTCCTTCCCCCTCCCCTTCCTCCCACTCTCCCTCGTTCTTCCCCTCCTCCTCTTGCAGGGCCCGCGCCAATTCCAATGGCGGGCAGAGAGATGTACGCCCCCGAAGGATTGTCCGCCCGTTCCGGTTTGCCCGTACGTCTAAGCCCGCCGGCCCCAGCAAAGAGAAATAATCCCCCCGAAAGGGGTGTGATCGAAGACGAAGAGGGCGGGCTTCGAGGGTGTAGGGTATGCGTGTTGAATGACTCGCGGGCAAGTAAGAGCGCACAGCCTTAAAATGGTTGTTGTTGTTGTTGTTGCCGTTGTTGCCGCTGTAGAACGGGGGCAAGGGGCGCCATTCGGGCCCCGCGTTTTTCCCGGACAGTAGACAAAATGCAAGCCCGTGGGAGGCGCTTGAATTAAGGCACCGGGGCGGGGGATCAACGATAATTATTCCTCCGCTCCGCGCTTGCGAAGGGTCGTCGGGCGGGGGCCGCGGCTGGCGCGCGCGGCGGGGCCTGGAAAGGCTGGGGTTCGGCGGGCGGGCGCGCGGGCCGCGCGGCGCCGCTCCCGGGGAAATGCGCCCCCGCGCGCCGACGGGCAGTTTCGGCGGCGCCGATCCCGGGCGAGGCGCAACAGGCAGGAGGAGAGGGGGCGGGGGCGGAAGCGGCTGCAGACGACCATGGCGCGCGCGGGCAGAGCATTCCCCCGCTCCGCGCTAGCGAAGGCGGGCCGCGCGGCGCCGCTCACGGGAAGACTGGCCCCTGTCTGCCGACGGGCACGTTCGGCCTGCCCATGCTCGAAGCCCTTGCGCAGTGGCCGGGCCGTGGCGGGAGGCCGAGGTTCGCGCGGGCCACGCAGAAGGGCCCGCGGATAAAATGGAAGCGACCAGACGGTCGCCACGGGCGGCGTAGAACGCTATGCGCGCAAGGGAAAAAGCGGGCAAATCAGGCAGGACCGACAAAGCGGCGGCAGTCTGAACATAGCGCTCCGCGCTAGAGCCCCGCCACCAAAGGCCGCGCCAGAAGACGCGGGGGGCGTCTTCCGCGGCCGCGCGGAACTCGGTCGCCCCAGAACCTCGAGGGCAAGCAGGCGCGAGATTCGGCCCAGAGGCCGCGCTGGACAACGCCGCCGAGGCCCATCCCCCGGAGCCGCCATGGCCCCAGAAATAGCAGCCGAATGCCGAAGGAGTTGCGCGGGGTTTCTCACTTTCTCAAAACATGCAGCGCTGGGCGCGCAGGCCCGCCTGCAACGCCCACTGACGAGCGTCCGCATTGAACCAAGCACCGCCGCCATCATCACCGCCAGGACCACAAGAAAACAAAGCTTACAATCATCATCGCGCCGAGGGCACGTCAGCCTGCATCGCCGCGCATCGACTCTTTGCCGCGGCCGAGTGCCGCGAGCTTCCAACAGCATTCGTCGACAACTGTCAAGAAACAAAATCGCCAGTGGTCCTTGACAGAGCCGCCAGAAGGGCCGCCGAAAGGGCCGCGCAAACCGTCGCCAAAATATCCACCGAAATTGCCGCCGAAATCGCCGCCGAAATCGCCGCCGAAGTTGCCGCCGAAATTGCCGCCGAACATGCCGCCGAACTTCCCGCCAAAGTTGCCGCGGAACTTGCCGCCGAAATAATTTCGAACTCCGCCCAAATAGCCGTCGAAATTCAGGCGCCGAAATCGCCGCCGGAATTCGGCCGCCGAAATCGCCGCCGAAATTTGCCAAGGGAGAATCACTGCTTCATTAAGCACGATGACGCCGCGGACGCAAACGTAAGAGTCACAGACAAAATCAATGTCTGCCTCTTTTCGGCGGCGCAATCTGGAATTTCGGCGGGAATTTCGGCGGCCATTTCGGCTCAAATTTCGGCGGCAATTTTTCGGCGGCGATTTTGGCGGCAATTTCCACGGCAAGTCCGGCGGCCATTTCGATTGCTCTTTCGGCGGCCCTTCGGTTGCTATTTCGGCGGCCCTTTCGACGGCTCTTTCGGCTGCCCTGTCGGCGGCGCTGCTTTTGCCAACTGTCGACAATGGCTGCTGGGGGCCCTCGGCACTCGGCGGCCCTGGCGGGCCCTGAGAGGGCCCTCGACGGGCCTCGCCAGAAGCGTCTGCGAAGTAGCTCAAGCCATGCGTGATTGGCACGCGTTAGCATGCGCAGCGTGCAGAGTGAATGCCTCGTATTATGCGTCAGCGCGCTCTAAGATGCGCCGGGGAACCACCGCGCGGCTGGGCGCGCCTGCGCGCTGAAACCCCCTAAATATCAATTTCGCTTGGCGCGCGCCCCATTTCGTCGCCACAGAAAGAGACGTTGCGCGACAACGGAACGCTCGAAGCCGAAAGTAAATGGCTCCAACGAAGACGGAAGCCGCCTTGCCCAAAGGGGGGCAGCGGATCAGCGAAAGACGAATGCTGGAACGCTCGTTCCAGAAGCCCCACCGTCACCCTGTCGGAGCAGCGATGCAGCGTAGCGGGAGCTATGCGCGAGTGCTCCGCGAGTCGAAGCTCAAACGCGTCGACCGGTTTGGACCGGCGTGATCCGGCGTGCAAGGCATGGAGACATGAAATGAGACATCGCGCACAATGGGTGCGCGAGGGGCACGATAACGGGCAGAACTAAACCCCAGCCTCGTCCCCGCAGCGGGGCTGGCCGCCGAAGCGGCGGCGCCCGCGGCAGCAGGCGCGGCCTCTGCGAGAGCGCTGCAGGAGCAATGCAGCGGCCGCACGCACGCCGCAGGATCAGCCCGCTCCGCGCAGCAGCGCGGTGCCTCACCGCTGCGCGGTTCAGCGAGACCAGCTCCGCCCGCTCGCGCCTGGGCGCGAAGAGCGGGGGAAGATTCGGCTCGCACCCGTCGAGCTCGATGCCCGACTCGACGGCGAGGTCCTTTCGCGCGGCGGCGAAAGGGGCCGGGCGTCGAGGGCGACGCGGCGAGCCGAAGCTTCCACCTCCGAAGGCAGCGCGTCGCCCTGCTCGAGGGGCCCCCAGGCGAAGGGGCGCGGGCGCCAGCGGACCGCGCGAGCGTCGCGCACTCCCGCGACGTCTCGCGGCGCTGGGCCGCGGGGGGCAGCCCCGAGGGCGACTCCGCCGAGACAGCGCGCGCAAACGCGCGGCGTAGCTCGGCGGGCTCCCCGTGGCGACCCCGAGCCAGGACGGGGAACGAATTCCCTTCGGGGCTGGAGTGCCACGGGCCGTCCAGCACGGCGGCCAGAGTCGCGGCCCGTCGGCGCTGACTCGCACTGCGACCCAGCCCGACCTCCCGAATGGAGCCTTGGGCGAGGGAACAGCCTCGCCCCTCGCCAGGCCACCGGGGGGGGCGGCGCCCATTGCGAGCAGCCCGTCGCGGCTCTCTACGGGGTGAACCTCACCGGAAGGGGCACTTCAAAGGAAAATGCACTGTGCGCCGGAGGGGGATCAACAACAACAACAACAACAACAACAACAGCAGCACCAGCAACATCAACATCAACAACAACAACAACAACAACAACAACAACAACAACACCAACAACACCAACAACAACAACAACACCAACAACAACAACAGCAACAACAACAACAAGTCTTCAACTTGTAGAATGCAACGACTCCCGCCTAATAATTCCTCATCGTGCATTGAACCTCTCGCGCTCTCGCGCGGGACTTCCTCGCGATGCATGCAGCAATCGTGCTCTCGCGTGGGGTTTTCTTGCGATGGATTGCGGCGCCGTGCCCCCGATGCTCAGGAATCACGCTCTCGCATTGGATGTCCGAACGATTTACTTGGAAATCGCGCAATCGCTCGAAACTTCGTTGAACCCGCCTGCTCGACCTGGCCGCGTGGGCCCGCCTTCCAGACCCGCCCGTTCGGGTCTACCCGCACGCTTTGCGTGCCTGGTTCTGCCACATGTTTTCTTCTCCGAACCCCCCTCCTACTAATCTCTCTCGTGCTCCATCCTCATCCATCCCCCTTCCATCCGTCTTCTCTTCCCTTGTTCTAGGGCTTGCATAACTTGCACGCGGTAGGTAAGAAATATCCCCAGGTGAAAGACGATCGAAAACGACGAGGACATACGAGGATAGGTATCGAGGGTAGGGGATATATGTGTTGAATGGGACGCGAGCGAATAAGAACGAGCAACATGAACATGTTTGTTGTTACTGTTGTTGCCAACTGGGGGCCAGGGGCGCAGTTTGAGGCTCAAGGCTTTCCCTTAAAAGCAACAGGATGAGAGCCTTGGGAGGAGCACTTCAGTTAGAAAAGCAGTGGGCACCGTTGGGGATCAACAGTAATTATAATTTAGAAATGATCCACCAGCATGCCCTTGAGGCACGAGTTGGAGTGCCGTCAGGTCCTTGGTCTAGTCCCTTCTGCCTCAGTCCTCAGACCTGAGGGTTCTTTAAGGTGCCCGGACCCAGGGAGGCATCATGATGGGTGCATGTAACATGTAGAAAGCATGGCGCATGAGGGCAACGTTATTATGTTTTTGTTGTTACCGAGGGGCCAACAGCACAGTCTGAGGCTCAAGAATTTCCCTGATGAAAACAAGGCGCAAGCCCCAGGGGGCACTTCAACTGAAAAACACAATACGGGCGCAGGGCCGGGGGGGATCACCCATAATTACTCTTCAGAAATGAAAAGTCAGCAATCATGTTAAGGCAGTTCGCTCTCCCTGGCTCGCATGTCATTCAACGTGCATAACCAAACCCTCGATACCAGCCATCTTCGCCTTCGATTGTACCCCCTCTGGGGATCTATCTTCCTTGCGCGCCACGTGCAGTTGGCGCGGCCCCTGAAATACGAGGAGAGGAGGAGGGAAAAGGAAAAGGGAGGGCAAGAAAGAAAAATGAGACAATATTAAGGAGGGAGGGGGGGAGGAAAAGGAAGAAAGAAACTGATAATACCGAGAATATTGAGAATATTGAAAGGGAAAAGGAAGAAAGGGAGGGAGGGAGGAAAGGAGGGAGGGAGGAGGATCGAGGGTGGGTCGGGCGGGCGGACCCCTTCGGGCGGGTCGGACGGGCGGACTCTAGCGGGCTGGTCGGGCGGGCGGACCCCAACGGGCGGGTTTCGCGGGCAGGGTATAGAAACGAACTCTGCAAATGGCAAAGAAAACTCGGGCGAGAGCACGAGCCCCGAGTAATTTGCAAGGGAGTCTCTCGTGCGAGAGCGCGATTCCTAAACGTCAAGGGCGCGGCGCCTGAATAGATGGCAAGGAAGTCCTTGGCGAGACAGCGATTCCTGCGTATATTGTACGGAAATCTCGCGCGAGAGCGCTTTTCTCAGTAAGTCACACTGCGAGGAAGTATCAGGCGGGAGCCGTTGTTGTTGCTGCTGTTGTAAAACGAGGAGCGAGCCCTGGAGGGCACTTCAATTGAAACGCGCACCGGGCACGAGGCAGGCGCGATCAACAATAGTTATGCTCCAGAAGTTAAAGTTCAACAAGCAAATCCTCCGCGGGTTTGCTCTGCACTTCTGGGTACTCGTAGTCGAAGACCAGGCCGTACAGGAGCGTGACCAGGAGGATGAACCCCACGTACACGGCCGCGCCCGTCAGCTCGGCGGTGAGGTCGCCCATGAAGGCCCTCGTGCGCACCTGCGCCAACACGTCCGACGCCTCAGTGCAGGTCAGAGGAGGGCAGTTGGGGGGTCGCGTCCTCCCCCTCCTCCTCCGTCTCCTCCTCCTCCTCCTCCTCCTCTTCCTCCTACTGATGTGCAGGGCGCGCTGGTGCAGATATGGAACACAAGAAGCAACCCGCCCCATCCCGCATGGCTGGAAGGAGGGGGACAAGAATATCGACACATTCTGAGTGGGATGAGAATGCGGAGCTGGAGGGGGATTAGGAAAGACAAACAGGGAACGAGGGGTCGGAGCACACTTGGGAGGGGGGAGGGGGGGGGGCGAGAGGAGGGAGGAGAAACATCAACAGTATGTATGACGTTGAAGCCAGCGTGCCACAAGGAGGGGGTAGAAGCGGAACGTGCACACGCAGCAGCAGCAGCAGCAAAGATCAGCAGGGGCATGTGCAGGATGGAGGCGCAAGAGCAGGAGCAGGAGGAGCAAAAGGAGGAGGAGGAGGACCCCTCCCCACCCTGCCCGACTCCGAGAGGCGCTACATGCCCGCCTTTCTGGCCCAACGCAGTCCCTGGGAGCCCCAGGGAATCTCCCTTCCTCCTCGTCCTCCTCGTCCTCCTCGTCCTTCCTCCTCTTCCTCCTCGTCCTCGTCGTCCTCGTCCTCCTCGTCCTCGTAGTCCTCGTCTTCCTCCTCCTCTCCCCCCTCGGCTTTTAGTGCCCTCGGGGGACCCCCCTGTCACCACGGCTGGTCGCGGCTTCGGAAGCGGGTCTGGACGTGGCGCCCGCGGGCATGGGTACCAGAACAGATCCTCACCCGATGTTCGCCATGGCCCGTGACATCTGGGCACAAAGAAAAAATGACCCTGGCGAAGGACCCAACCATATGCAGTTGTGAATACCGCACTTGTGAATATCTTCTTCGGTGGAGCTCCCTATGGGGCCACAAAGCGCTGCACTGGTGGGAAGAACGCATGCGGGCGGTAACACGGGGACCGTCGGTGGAGCTCCCTATTGGGCCACGATGCGCTGTACTGGGCGAGTGAAAATGCCAAATCAAGTGTTTCGGGACGAATGCGGGCGGTCCCACTGTGGGCTTCGGTGGAGCTCCCTATGGGGCCACGAAGCGCTGTACTGGGTAGGTGAAAATGCCAAATTGGGTGTGTGGGACGCATGCGGACGGTGGCACTGGGGGTTTCGGTGGAGCTCCTGGTGGCACTGGGGGCTTCGGAGGAGCTCCTTATGGAGCCACGAAACGCTGTAGTGGGTGGTGACAATGCCAAATTGTGTGTGTGGGACGCATGCGGACGGCGGCTCTGGGGGCTTCGGTGGAGCTCCCTATGGGGCCACAAAACGCTGGGAGGGTGAAAATGCCACATTGGGTGTGTCCGGGCGCATGCGGACGGTGGCACTGGGGGCTTCTGTTGTTTCCTATGGGGCCACAAAAAGTTGTACTGGGTGGGTGAAAATGCCAAATTAAGCGTTCCGAAACGCATGCGGGCGGTGGGACTGGGGGCTTCGGTGGAGCTCCCTATGTGGCAACGAAATCGTGTACTGGGTGGGTGAAGCGCAGGGAGGGGCCTTGGCCGCGACCGGGCCCGGCGCAAGGAGCCAAGCCCGAGCTGCACAATCGGGCCCGCGCGCGCGCGGAAACCCGCCGCGCTGGGGACCCCGCTTCGGCAAGCGCGCGCCAGGTGGGCGCCCCAGCCGGCTCGGGGAGGTCGTCGGCCTCGATCCGCCTGCGCATCGACCTCTGGGTGTGCCCGTTGAACAAGGGGATGTCCGCGTCGCCGACGACCGCCGCTGCCGCGTCATTGTCGAGCCCCTCCGCTATGACTCCCGGCTCAGCTTCGGGGCACTCGGCGTCGGGCGGGCCCTCGGCTTCCGACCCCTCGGCCCACTCGGAAGACGCCTCGAGCCGCGGGTTCGGCGCGCCGCACCGGCAGCACTGAAGCCTGGCCGCGTTGTCGGCCTGGCACGCCGCGCAGGTCCACCCGAAGCGGCCGCGCTCGCCTCCTGAACCACCCATCTGAGCGTCGGGCTCGGAGGGCTGAGCGGCCAGCGGCGGGCCCAGGGCCACGAGTTGGATGGGGAGGCGGCCGTTGGTGTGCCCAGCGGCCCAAGGCGGGGCTGGCTCCAGACCGTCCGCCGACTCGCTCGCGTCGTCGCCGGTCCCACCTCGCACACGATGCGTCGCCGTGACTCGTGACCACGCAGCCATCGTCGAGCCCCGCGGCCGCGATTTCTGCACCGCCGTCGTGGAGCACCCGCGAGCCCAGACAGAGCATCACGCCTGCGGGGCCAGTGCGGGACGCGGACACGACGTTCGCCCGGAGGTGTGCCACCCCCGCCTGGAAGCTGCGGACGTGGATCACGGCCTGCTCGCCGACCCTCGTCGTGCTGCTGTCCTCACTGTCCTCCTCCCTGTGGAGAGGGCGCGGCGGACAGTCGCGCACGGCCGGCCGACTCCGGCGCCTCACGCTCGGCCGCACCGCCGAGTCGTTCCAGCTCGGCCCCCTCTGACGTCACGGCTGTCGCGGCACCGTCGGGCGCCGGGCGCCGCCGAGAGGGGTGGTCATCCCAGCGCGCCGACCAGGCGACGAAGTCACCCCCCCGCCCCGCGGTGCCCCCTGGCAGCCGACGCTCCTCCTCGGGCGTGTGCGGCGGCGGCGTCGGGCCGCGGCGCGCCTTCGCCCTGCCGCGAAGGAGCGCGCGCGCGGGCGCGGTCCAGGCCAAGAGGCACAGGGCGAACGGGCGGGCAGCGGGCCGCGCTCGTGCTTCAAGAGTTGAGCGAGACGTTTACGAAGAGAGCACGCAACATCTTCCATTCCGAACCTCCGTCCCGTGCCCACTTCGCAGGCTTCGTTTCGCGCTCACGGCAACGCAAATAATTGGAACGTAACGCAAAACAACGCAAAGCAATGCGAAGCAATGCGAAGCAATGCGATGCAAATTAATGTACAGCAATGCGAATCCTCGCAGAACCAAAACAATTCAAAGCCATGCAAGGAGCAATGCGAAGTGCGAGCCCCGCACAATCGAAACCGTGACCAAGGACGGCGGCGACGGGCGGCCACACGCCGGTTGGACCGAATGACGCCCTCGCTCGAGAGATCCTGAGATGTTCGTTCACGGGCGAAAGACACACACGTGAAAATAAATTGCTTCAGTTCACGGTCGAAGGGAGGAAGGAATGTAAAAACACGTGGATGGAACTCACAGACGATAAAGAACAACCATGTAGAAGCACATGATTTCCGCTCACGGGCGAATAATCCGAAGACCGCATGTTCCATATCCCCTCTGGGTGGTCCAGACACGTGGAAACACATATTTCGCTATAAACATCCTCGAAACATTACGCGGACCAAGCGTCTCGTTCGAGACATCGTCAAACTCTGCAAACCAAGCGCTTCCCCTCAAACATCCTCAACCAATTATGCAAAACCAGCGTTTCGCTCGGGACATCCTCACAATTTCAATTCCCCGGCCCCACGCAACCTTTACTTCTCTAAGGACACATTCGCCGTCCCTGCGCAAGTTGAGGATCAGGGAGGACAGCTTACATAATCCGCCGGCCCCCTTGTCGGGCCATCAGGCTGTAGGACTAGGTTGCTGCTCCCTGCACCAGTTGCAGTTTCAAGTCTCCAATGATACAGTCCTGCTTTCTGCTTCCTGATGTAAACTGTTGAAGTCCGCGCGAGGGGGGAGCCCCAAACCATCCAATTTACGACGCCCGGATCGCGCTCTCTGAATTCATTGGGGGGCGTGGGACACGTTAAAATACATGAGATTCGCGCTCTCGAGGCCATAATCCTTTATAAATCACACAATATTCGCGTCCCCGAGGCAACACAACTCTGTAAGGTATGCAATTCTTGCGTCTCCGAGGCAACCAACCCCCGCTAATTACGCCATATTCGCGTCCCCGAGGCAACACACCCTCGTAAATTATATAGTGTTCGCGTCCCCGAAGCCATGAACATTTTGCAAATTACGCGATATTCGCATTGCCGAGGCCAAGAGTGCTCCAAGGCGCCCGAAGATTGTTCCAAGACGCCCAAGAGAGCCCGAAGAGGCCTCAAGAGCGCTCCAAGAGGCCTCCCGAGAGAGAGCCCCAAGAGGCCAAAACCGTAGACTTTCCGAGGGTATTTGAAGGATGTTGGCCTTGTCGCATGTTCGGCTTTCCGACGCTCCGAGACGGGTCAAAAAGCTTCCAAGACCGCCCCAAAATAACCCAAGAGGCCTCCAAGAGGGCCCCAAGCCGGCCCAAGAGGGTTCCGAGATGGCCCAAGAAGCACTCAAGACGGCCCAAGAGGGCCCCGAGAGGGGCCCAAGCGGGGGACCACGAACCGAACATGTCATGTCTGTGCCCCGAGAAGCCCCCAGGAGGCTCCTAGAGGCCTCCAAGAGGCGCCCAAGACGCCCCCAATAGGCCTCCAAGAGGCCCACAAGATACCACACAAGGCCCCAAGAGGACCACAAGAAGCGGCCAAACCGCCTCCATGAGGCCCCCGAGAGGCTCCCCACGACACTCCAACAGACCCATAACCCAGGCACGGTAGCGGGATGAGCCGAAAGCCACTCGGATAACGCCAACGTCTCAACATGCGCTGATGATTCCTATCCGCCCCCGCACGATGTTCCCAGATGCGCCAAGGCAGCGCCGACACGCACCGACGCGACTCTGATATATCCCATTCTGATAGAAATGGGGCCAGCGGCAGGGGGCGAAGCCCATACGAATATCGAAAGAAAACCCTGGGCCGTAGCCCATTCTAGGAAGGCACTGGAAGGAAGAGACAGAGGGACAGAGTGAGAGATAGGGAGATACATAAAGAAGCACTACGGGAGATGATGCAAGAACTATCAGCTACAAATTGGGGGATCACAAAGCCTCATGGTGAACATGATCGACCCACGAACCCGGAAAAGGATCTAGAAATGTCAGACATGGCAACGTTTTCAAAACACCTGAAGTGGAGACAAGCAATTGCAATGCTGAAAAGATCGATCTTGATGTACCGTGCCAAAGACTGTGCTGTGCTGTGCCGTGCCGAACTTCGATTTGCCATGCCGCGAGTGTGCTCTATAGCGTTGTGGATCGAGTCATCCTTCGCATTCGAGTCCTGACCGAACTGATCTGGAGCTTAAGCTCGAACATAGTAGCTGCCCCAGAGCTAGTTGAAGCGGAAACGTGGAGGACGTTCAATCAACTCGACCTCAAAATTTGACTCAACTCAAAAAAAGGAGCGACACGACACGGGGCACAGGCTCGCGGACGCGCCACAGGATATGCCAGAGGCGCAATAGGGGATGCACTAGGAGACGTGTCAAGGGACGTATCAGGGAACGTGCCCTGGACGTGTCAGGGACCTGCCACGGGACGTGCCACAACGCGTGCCATGGGGCGGCCAAAAGACGTCATGCCAAGGGACGTTGCAAGGGGCGCGCCACGGAACGGGCAGGGAAAACGACTGGGGACGAGCCAGGAAACGCGACAGAGAACGAGCCAGGGAACGTGCCACGCCGAGAGGGCTAGAGGACGTGCCAGGACACGTCTCGCCAGAACGTCGCAAGGGACGCGCCAGGGGAAGCGCCAGCGCGCCAGGGGACGCCCCACGGACGGGCGGGGTTGGATTGCGACGCACTCTACTGCGACAAGCATTTCGTTCGAGACATCCTCAACAAACCCTCATGTTAGTCATCCGCCTGGGCGACCTGGGCACGTGAAAACAAGCGTTTCGCTCAACACACCCTCAACACCTCCTTATGCTAGATATCCGCCTGGGCGACCTGAACACGTGAAACCAAGCGCCTCGCTCGAGACATTCTCAACATCTCCTCACGCTAGACATCTGCCTGGGCACTCCGAACGCGTGAAAACAAGCGTTTCGCTTGATATATCCTGCCCACATCCTCATGCTAGACATCCGCCTGGGCGACCTGGACACGCGAAAACAAACGTCTCGCTCAACACATCCTCAACACATCCTCATGCTAGACATCCGCCTGGGCGACCTCGACACGCAAAAACATGCGGTTCTCTGGAGACATCCTCAAGACATGTTCATGGTAGAGGTCCGCCTGGGCGACCTGGACATGTGAAAACAAGCGTCTCACTCAACACATCCTCAACACATCTTCATGTTAGACATCCGCCTGGACCTGGGCACGTGAAAACAGGCGCTTCGCTAGAGACGTTCTCCACAATCCCCGTGTTAGAAATCCGCCTGGGCGACCTGGGCACGTGAAAACAAGCGTCTTTCTCGAGACATCCTCAACACATCCTCATGCTAGACATCTGCCTGGGCGACCAGGGCGCGTGAAAACGAGCGTCTCACTCGAGACGTCCTCAACAAATTCTAATGCTAGACGTCTGCTTGGGCAACCTGGACGCGTCAAACCAAGCGTCTCGCTCGAGACATCCTCAAAACCTGGGCACGTGAAAACAAGCATTCCACCTGAGACATTCTCTGAATTCCGATCCCCAGGAGAGGGACGATCTATAACACAAAACAAGCTTTTCGCTCGATGCATCCTGAACAAATTCTGCAAAACAAACGTTTCGCTCGAGACACCCGCAACAAACGAATATGTATACTTGACCATCTGTTTTACCGATCGGAATTTCCAAAAAGACCAGCGTTTCGCTAGGGATATCCCTAACTGTTTGATTCGCCGGCCCTACGCGACCTCGTTACGCATTGCAGAAGGAATTCGCCAGCCCTACGCAAGTTGAGGCCCCGCACTCGGTTGACCTACCAAAAAGAACTCCGGGCCTAAGCCCTTTCCGAACAAATGAACCTGGCGAAGGACAATATGCACTTGTGAATACCGCAAGTGTGGGTATCATGTCCGGTAGAGCTCCCGATGGGCCACGAGACGCTGTACTGGGCGGGGAAGAGAGACGCATGCAAACTTTGCCACTGGGGCCTTCGGTGGAGCTCCCTATGAGCCACGAAACGCTGTTCTGGGTGGGGGAAACGCGTGCGAACTGTGCCAATGGGGCCTTCTGTGGAGCTCCCCGTGGCCCCCAAACGCTGTCCTGGGTGGGGAGACGCATGCGAACTTTGCCAGTTGGGCCTCTGGTGGGGCTCTCTATGGGCCACGAAGCGCTGTAGTCGCTGGGGCAAACGCATATGAACTTTGCCACTGGTGCCTTCGGTTGAACTCCCTATGGGGCCACGAAGCGTTGTCCTGGGTGGTGGATGACACATGTGGACGGTGCGAGTGAAGCCTTCGGTCGAGGTCCCTTTGGGGCCACGAAGCGCTGTACTGGGTGGGGGGGGGCGCATGCGGACTGTTCCACTGGGCCTTCGGTGGAGCTCCCTTTGAGGCCACGAAACGCAGTATTGGGTGACAGGAAACGCATGCGGGCGGTAGCACTGGAGCCTGCGGTGGAGCTCCCAATGGGGCGACGAAGCGCTGTACTGGTTGAGGGGAAACGCATGCGGTCGGTGCCAGGTGGCGCTCCCATGTGGAAACGAAACGCTGTACT